GGGGGGGTGGGAGGGGGGGGGGTTGCATATAAAACCAAAATAGGAATTATATAAAAATAAGCAATATAATCAAATAATCAATGACGAATCCATGTGACAAAAAAACAAAATAAATAAATAAATATGTATAGAGATAAGTAAATCATATAAGTACTTTACAGTTAACGAAACTATCAATTTTGATAATTATTGTGCTTTGTATCACATGTAACGGGGAGATAATTAGCAAATCATTAATATTGAATTAGATAATAAGAAAAATAGTACAACGGGATTTTATCCCGTATATCCTGTAATAAATAAAGCGCTTACCATGTATTGTTCATTTGAAAGTTGAAATAAACTTGTAAGGATACATCGGAATATTTATTTATATTCTAATATTTATACATATTTATATGAGCGTCGGTATAGAATTCAGAATTCAAAGTTCAAAATTTTATGACAAGCAAGAAAGGAAAAATCAGGCAAAAATCATAAGTAACTGTAAATAAGAAACTCAAAGTTATGTACGTAAATACATGTAATTTGAATTACATAGGATACGAAAATTAAATATGACAATGGTAACATTTTTTAATAATTGTTCTTTCATAATAGCGAGAATAAATACGTCATACGAATATGAATAAATAAAATATGAGATATTATGATATATTGATTAAATAAATGATTTTCCTACATATTGTTTGTTTTATTTATACCAAAGAATTTAAATGGTGAATAAATTTGAATAAATTTCTGAATTCTGAATTCTGAATTCTGACTCGATAACACTTACATCTCATTATTTCCTACCAATAAGTCTCACCCTATTTTATCCCACATCTCTGGAAATGTTTAATAATAATAAAGTTTCTTCTTTTTTTTTTTTTCCCATTTATTAATTTTTTTTTTTTTTTTTTTTTTTTATTTATTTACTCACTGTCACTTTATACTCATTCTGATATTACAATACAATGGTAATTTTTTTATTAGTATCATTGATAAAGTACGTAAATAGTAAAGAAACTTTTTACATGGTTTACTTAAACGATAAATATAATAACATCAAATTTTTTATGAACAAAAAGATTTTCAATATGAGGTATTGCGATGGATTTATAATCAAAAGTAGATTTACTTTGAAAATTACTAATCTGTATTACAAATTATTCCAAAAAAAAAAAAAAAAAAAAAAAAAAAAAAAAAAAACTTGGCTAAAAACAAACTGTATATTGTATAATAAATTGTATTAGTATTCATTAATGATTTTCCACATTATAATTTTATTAATTTGTAAATTCTCAATAGATGAAAAATAAATGTACGCAGAATTAATATACATCGAAATGTATATTAATTTACTTTGTCTCTTTTGAAGATTGAAAGAAATATATATCATTAAGTAAATATTTGAATGATTTACTTTTCATAGGATTATTAAAACAAATAAGATCAGCATTATAACATTTCACAATATAATACGAGAACTGAATAAAACCATAAATACTTATAATCAGTATACGAATAAAAGAATAAAAATGTGATGTTTAGAATTATTACGAACGAATGAATTTGCGAATTGATTTCATCGCATATTTTATTTTAATCCTCTTTGAAACAGAAAGCATAGCATCAATGTGATTTAAATAAATAAACAATCACTAGGTTTGCACTTATAACATAAAAAAAAAGTATAATGATAAATGTATATTACATAATTGCATAATTGTCCAATTTAATTTTATGTTTTATTTTTCTCTTATTAATAAAAATTATTGCCTTTTTCGATTGAAATGTCAATGAGAGATGGATAATTTCAAGTATCGTCAATTATTTTTAGAAAAAATAAGACCTCGCAAATTAAATGATTAATAAATTATCTCATATTTATTGAAATCCATCTTTTTTTACAATTTCTTTTTTTTTTCAATTTTCTCAGTTCTTTTACCCGTGCGTTTGGTCACACAAAAATCGTAATTACGCTTATAAATAAATGAGCAGCTCTCGCTATTGCGAGTTACTTTACGTTTTTAGCGTGCCGAGGGTGTATACGTTACCAGTATCGTGTCACGAGACATTCTTTAATCAAATTAATGTATGAGACAGCGAGAGAGAAAGATAGATGGCTACGTTGTGGGTCTTGCATCCGCATGCAATTACAAAAATTTCACGTACACGTGTATACTATGATAATGTAGCTTATCTTGTGATCTTTTCCTGCTGTATTTGTTTAAATAAATTAGTCATTTTTAGAAGCAAATAATTTAAAGAATAATTGTAGGGTAATTATTACTAGAAGATATTGATAACATTTATGAAAGTTCTAAATGTTGAAAAAAATGTTTATAACAATATATATATTATATATATATATATATATATATTAGAAAATGATAATATATAACTAAATTACAACAATTTACAACCGGAATACATTTTTCTAAAATGTATATATTATTATCATGCAGTCTTGAGGCTATTAATAGTTATTAACCTTCTATTATGTTTTATTCTAAATGAGTTGAAATATCATTATTAACGTATACTGATTTATAATAAAATTAACAATATAAATTTAGAAGTCCACATAATATTTTTATGCATAAATTTTCCATTTGCTGCCGAAATATAAAATCTGTTATGCAATCTTCATATGGTATATATTGGCGTTCGTAAGGTACCGTTTAGTAAAATTTACATTAATAGCTTTGCATTACAAATTTTGTACCACAATTATTTTTACATAAGTTAAATTTTATATTGTCTTTGTTAAAAACATCACAAAGAATATCAAATTTGTTTAACTAAACAAAGTTTTTCAGTTTTTTTTTGTTAATACTAAAAGACACTATAATTCTACATACTTTTGCAGATATAAATTAAAAAAAAATTATTTCTTATTTGTACCAGCCATAATATATGATAACTGCACAATCTATTTTATTATTATTGTATGGTAAAACATAATAAACAAGATTAATTATTAATAACGCGTATGTATTATATTTCAAAAATATTTTCAAACTTTACAAATATTATATATAAATAAAATATTAAATCCAGTTCTTGATCATTCGATTAAAAGTTACAGAAATTTCAGAGCTCTTTAAAATTTTGATATCGTTCTTCTTTTAAAATATAATTGAGTACTGCCGTCATCTAGTCACTGTTTAAGTACAGCATTTGCTTCAGCTCGTTCCTCTTCTAATTCTTTTGCAGTTATATCTAACTTTGATTGTGCAAAACTGCTTATAAATAAACCCTAGAAATAGTAATTTGCATTATTATTATTATTATTAGATTGAAATTTTTAATTTCATTGAATAGTTACATAAGCAAAAAAATATTTACTTGAACAATTTCGTATTTTTTATTCTTTATAGTCACTGGTAGTGAAAAAATAATATCTTTTGGAATTCCATAGCTCCCGTCCGATGTCACACCCATGCTTACAAATTCACCAGGTTTTGTGCCAATCCACCAATCTCTCATGTGATCCCCCGCTGCTTTTGCTGCTGACATTGCGGATGACATAGTCCTTGCTGCGATAACGGCTGCTCCACGCTTCTGAATTCTTTCCACAAATTCAGTATTTAACCAATTCTCATCATCTATAACTTCGGAAACTGGCTTGGATGAATTATTTGTTTTTACTTTGGCGTAAGCTGTGCTTGGATATTGAGTTGAGCTGTGATTTCCCCAAATTACCACATTTGTTACATTACTCACCTATCGGTACAGTTAAAATTATGACTGTAAGTAAGAAGAAGCTCGCGAGGGTAAAAATAAAGTAAAGATTTTTTATAATACCTCGACTCCCAAGTGGGAAGCCAAAAGAGCTTGAGCTCTATTTTGATCGAGTCTTGTCATAGCTGTAAAATTTTCCTTTGGAATTGACGGAGCATAATGGGAGCAAATTAAAGCATTTGTATTTGCTGGATTGCCAACGACTACGATCTTGACATCTTTTTTTGCAAACTTATCGAGTGCTTCTCCTTGAACTTTAAAAATCTTGACATTAGCCGCAAGAAGGTCCTTCCTTTCCATTCCTTCCTTACGAGGCATAGCTCCCAATAAAAATACCGCAGCTGCATCTTTGAATGCTGCTTCAGGATCAGCGGTGGGCAATATATCTAAAATTAAAAATAAAAAATTAGCAATGAAATAAAGTTGCATCGTAACGTTACTCTTCTTTTATCAATATTTTATTAATAATTTATTACCATTGAGAAGAGGAAGAGCAAGATCTTCAAGTTCCATAACGACTCCTTTAAGGATACCCATCATCGGTGGTATATCAAGTAATCTCAAATTGATGGGTTGCTCTTGACCAAAAACTGTACCAGCAGCTAATTGATAGAGTAAGGAATAGGCAATTTGTCCTGCTGCTCCACTAACAACAACATTTATGGGTTCAGCCTGAACATAATTAATTAATTAATTAATTAAATATATATATATATATATATATATATATATATATATATATATATATTATATACGTGTGCGAGCGTGTGTGCGCGCGCGCGCGCGCTTGTATCTACATAGTATGGATTTTCTTCTTTTTGGCTGCTTTATGTAAATTAAAAAATTAATGATTCAATTGAATGAATACGATTTTAAATATTTTAATTTAACATACAATGTATGCTTTATCATTATATTGATTTAGAAGATTATTTGAATAACCACTTGATGCTTACGTTCGCATATATATATATATATATATATATATATATATGCCCGCGCCCGTGCCCGTACGCGCGTGTGTGTGTGCGTTGGGAATTTGCATAATTATCTAAGTGTAATCATGTAATATTACTGTATTGTAAAGAATATTAGTTTAAAAATATTTAATTATTTTACATTGAAATTTTGACTAATTAAATAGTTTACATTGTTATTTTTTAAAATGATTTACGTGACGAATTGAATGTACCTGCATACAACTGTGACAAGTATTTTAATTACAATATGCTTAAAATTGATTTATAAAATTCGCGAAATTTAATTCAATCATAATACGTGCGATTTCTTCTAATTCGTGGAAAGTAATTTTTATTAATTTCTCTTATGAAAAAATATCCGACAATTAGGCAGACTTTGTCGATTTAAAACGTAAAGCAAAAGATGAATGGGCCAAGTAGAAAATGCATTACAAAAGATCCACCCAGAAAAGATGTAATAAATAGAGATAAAAAGCTCTATTATCCAGCCGCCGCCAGGTAAAATCGTAATTAAAAACTTACTATAAAAATTTGTAAATGAAACGGATCGCTTTAATAATATATAAATAAAATCTTACCATATTTGATTTTTCCTTTATTTTACTAATAGTACCGTGAAATTTAACGACGATCCAATATAATTGCAAAAAAAAAATGAGATAAAATGCCGCAGATTGGTCGAATTACTACCGGCGAAGGAGTAACATTCACTCTCTATTTGTTATAACCGACAAAAGTAACCGGGAAGGTCAAAATGATAGGGCAATACATGTTCACATGTTCACATGTTGGAACACACATGCATAATCATTCCCACCGAAGGTAAAATGAATCGACGGAAACTTCTATGGCTGTAGGAGATTAGATTGTGGGCGGGCCTAGTGGCCCGGATTCATGAGGATTCATGAGCAATGTGAGTTGGTTGGTGACTGGAATTGGAACTAAAGTGATATGGACGCGATTGCTCGAGCTCACCGGGAATTTCGAATACATTACACTTAATAATTTTGAATAAAGTAGAGAATAGTTTTTTGCCTTTCAATATTCTAAGGCAATGTAGTCACGTGTCTCATTTGCAGGTATACGCGTAGTACGTGCATACAAGCTTAATACGCCCGTAATTGTTAAATACGACGATTACCTGAAAGTAAAAAAAATTCATTATTATAATTAATGCCAAATAGGATAAATGAAATTTAGAAATTAGTATTACATTATCGATGGCCCTGTTGGCTGAAAGATGATGAGTATTATTCACTAATTACCTACCTACGGCATTGCGTCGTTATTGCGTGAATGTAAAAAATTCGTCCCTTACAATGACGATTATTGATAATTCCGGTAATTGGGGGGTGCAATTTGGATTGGAGGCCATTTGTCGCGTTCGATTATTGATTTGAGCAACGTGTGAAGTTGCGTTCAAATTTCACGCAAAAATAATATATTGGACGAGGTCAGGTGTGTTGTGCGCGTGCGCGGCTTTGCTTATCAAGTGCATCAAGTTCACAACGGCAGAAGCGAAGCTGGTCGTTCGGACTCGGATAATTAAGTGGACCGAGAGGATTGTAAACGGTGCTAGCGTGGGCTCGCGCATGCATGTGTTTGTTGTGGGTGGACGTAGGCACGAATGAGTTTAATGTTAATTTAATTCTTAACAATGAGGATTGCTGTGGAAGGTTGTGCGCACGGTGAATTGGAACTTATTTATGACGCCATCGCCGAGGCTGAGAGATTTGATGGGAGAAAAGTTGATTTACTCCTTTGTTGTGGCGACTTTCAAGCCACGAGAAATAGCAAGGACCTGACTTGCATGGCTGTGCCAAACAAGTATAAAGATATCGGTACATTTTACAAGTGAGTAAAGTTAATTATCGTGATGATATGGAAAAGTGGGATGTTTACTTATAGCACTGCTTGTTTACAGATATTATTCCGGAGAAAAAGTAGCCCCGATACTTACAATTTTTATAGGTGGAAATCACGAAGCATCGAATTATCTTCAAGAATTGGCTTACGGTGGCTGGGTTGCACCAAATATTTATTACTTGGGTTATGCAGGCGTCGTCACAGTTGGTGGTTTACGAATAGCAGGTCTTTCTGGAATATATAAAAGTCACGACTATATGCGAGGTCACCACGAATATCCACCTTACAACGACAGAACGATACGTAGTGCTTATCACATTAGAAATTTAGAAATATTTAGATTAAAACAAGTAAGGAGAATAATAATGATAATAATTGGTCTGCCATTCGGTTGATATATACATCATACATATGCAATTACTTTCTTTTATAGCTTAGCGGTAGAATAGATATGTTTATGACACACGACTGGCCTTTAGGAATAACTGATTTTGGCAATGTAAAAGCGCTACTTAGGAAAAAGTCTTTTCTAAAGTGAGTCTATATATCCGTATATTTATAGTCGTTGCGTTTAACATATGACTCATTAACGCTATTCAATTATTATAGGAGAGATATCGATAATAATGTTCTCGGTAGTCCGCCAGGAATGGAATTATTAAAGCTACATTATCCATCGCATTGGTTCGCTGCGCATTTACATTGTAAATTTGAAGCTAAAGTAACCAAGATAAATGATACAAAACACACAAAATTTTTAGCATTGGACAAATGCTTACCGAGGAGAAACTTTTTAGAAATAATTGATGTCGAACACGATAAAAGCATTCCGATTGAACTTTGCTACGATTTGGAATGGCTTACAATTTTATTTTTAACAAATCATTTATTGAGTATTAAAACGACAATGTGCTATATGCCTGGACCAGTTCAACAAGGAAGATGGGTTTTCGCTCCGACCGAGGAGGAGAAAAACAGAATACATAATAAATTTAGTTATAATTTAACTATACCATTAAATTTCAAAGAATCCGTCGAACCATACAATCCTGAAATGGGAAATAGACACGTCAGTCAACCTAATTTAGTACTAAACGAACAAACTACGGAATTTTGTAATAAACTTGCAATAGACGATCCTTTTGCATTATTGAAACTTGCAAATGGTATCGCCGACGAAAGCGAATTAAACTGCAGTAGTGTCTCATTTTTAACGAGTACACCATCGAAACAGTCGTTTTCCCATACCGATTTGTCGTGCTCTACCGAAGATGACGAAGCCGTAAATTTTATAATAGATACATCTCCGAGTTATACATTGCGTCCAATAAAATCATTGAAGCTACCTGCCGCTAAAAACGACAGTACAATGTCTATAAGCGATTCGTTTAATTCTGACATAGAAATTAAAACTGATGCTTCGAAAAGTTCTAGTAGCGTAGAAATCAAGGGCGATCATACAGCTGTAGATGGTTAGTACATAATTTTTATATTTTTCTAAAATCTTATGTTACAATTATTTATATGATCATTTATAACAATTTGATTTGTTTGCAATTTTAGTTGAAGTTACAGTTGAGCCTAATTGTAAAAAATTGAAACGAAGGAATCAATCGATTTATACGGATGCAGAATGTATTACGTAGCGATATTTTTCGCTATAAAAAATTGTATCGAATATGATTTTTTTATTGTAAACTTTGCAAATGCAAAATAGGAATTAAATTAATTTTTGTGAAATGTCGTTAGATATCAATTATAATTATAACGATTATAATTTTATTCATAACAGTCCATTAGTCATTTCACAGTAAATTAATTTACTAAACTTGTAAAAAGTAATATTAACAGGATATAATTAAATATTAAAAACAGTAAAATGTGTGGTTAAATAAGTCGTCAGTTGGTGTAATATTTTGTTTTATATGAGTACTAAAATTTTGATCCATTTTATTGTATAAATTCGAATAAATCATTGAATTATAAACACGAAAACATATATATAATTATAAGTAACAAATGTTTATTTACAATAACGAAATTAATAGATGTACAAATAAATTTGTATAAAACTAATTGAAATGTTTTTCCTATTATTTACCTATTTCTTTTATATATTCTAAAATAATTTTTAAAATTGGAAAAACAAGTAACTTTGATGACGTAATTACTCAGCGTTACTAAATGGATTACCACCAATTTTGAATTAGTTATTTCGTTACAAAAAATCAAAAGAATATTATCATGAGAATTGAAAAAATTTATTTTAATTATATGTATGGAATTAAAGAAATCATATAGATGATAAATGTCATTAGGAATAACAAAAGATTGTCACATTAAATATAATTTTTGATAGCTGATTATTAAGCATATTTGTCAACGATTTTCCGGAAAATGCATTATCGAAATTTATTTAATTCCCAGAACGACGCTCATTAGTTAAGATGGGCTTAACGACTGTAACGGTTAATAAGCATTTAAACGACAAAGTACTTTTGATAATTGATGCATTTATAAGAAATATTTTATTCATAATTCATCACTGTTTAGCAGTATAATGTCATACATAATTGCATTCATAATTAAAAAGTTAATAGTACCAAGAAGATGTTCACCTATTGTCTAGATTTACAGAATTTTTTTTAAGAATTTTTACACAATGAGTACTTTAATAAACGACAATTACTTATACAATAAGTCAATCTTTCTTTTTTTGATCGATAAATAATATTATTAATATTATTAGTAATTAATGATATTTGCAAGTGAGATTGTTGCGAGTATTATTGATTCTTTAAACAAAATTTAAAGAATTTTTTTAATATTTATAATTACGTTAAATTATATTATGATTTTACACAACTCCTGTAATAATATACTTTACTCGAGGTGTGAACAATGACAGAAAATATATCTCAAATAGCGATAAAATTCTATTCAAATACGTATGTATGAATGACGAATATGAATATAATCGAAGTTAAATGTAAATTAAATAATAAACATCTTAAAATAAGCATTTACGTTTATTCTTTGAAATAACGATTTAACGGAAATATCAATATCTTAAAATATATTTAATTCGGTTAATCATTCGATATAACTTAAGAAAAATAATACAACTGTATGTACAAAATTTTTGTTAAATCAAAGTACACAAAAATAACGTTCGGTAATAAAGTGGGGACGATTAAAAGCAATGGTCACGCTTGTAATAAATACTTGTACATCTATTATTACAAATATCACATAATTATGTAAGAAAAGTAGAAGTAATTTAATGTTTTTATTATGAATAAAGGTATTTCTACGTGGTAGAAAGTCATATGGAAATCATAGTGAAATGGCAATAGAATAATATCCGACAATATTTACGCTGCGTCGAATAATATTACTCAACGCACAATTGCTACGCCATTACAATTTGGTTCTCCGTTTAGGGGGAGGCGATTCGTGTATAAAAGTTGGCACACGTGGAAAAAGGACCATACCGATGATCGAGGCGAAGAATCAACTTCCGTACGACCTTGGCTTTCATCACCATTGCCCGGTATCAGCCCGAGCATAGATCAGCCGTTATTCCTTGGCTTTTGGGGGTTGAAGAGCTCCTGGACCTCCTCCAAGCTCATACCCTTAGTCTCCGGCGTAATCAGGTAGACCCAAACGCTGCCACTGCAGCAGCACACGGAGAAAAACCAAAAGGTCGTGTGTATGCCGGCAACGGAGTTGAGGGCCTGGAATCCGAGACCCACGACGAAGGCAAACAACGAGCCGATGATAATGGCTGTGGCCACTGCCTCGCTCTTGACGTTCGTCGGAAAGATCTCACCGAGGATGACGTAGGGCACGGTACCAATACCCAAGGCGACGACGATCTCATAGGTGATGAGAGCAACGATAGGTATCCACGTTATTTGTGAGACGTCGACGCGCAGCTCTTCCCGGGCGTAAAAGAACGTCCCGACGACAGCGAGGGCCGCGGCAGCCACGCAACCCGAACAAATGATCAGGAGTCGCCTACCCATCCGGTCGACGAGATTTGCCACCAAGAGGCCAGCGGCCAATTGGGCGAAACCAAGAACGATAGCCGCGTGCTCGGGCGCGAGTCTCGAGCCACTGTGCCCGAAGATCTCCTGGGTATAGGCGATTATGGCCATCTGACCGGATAGCTGCTGCGTCACTTTAAGACTCAAGAGAATCCAGAGGCTGCGGCGATTGCTTGGCTTCGTCACGAGCTCCCAGAGACCACCTCGCGCGTGCCGACTTTCGGCTACGGTGAGCCGCATCGCCTCCAGGTCACGGCGCACGCTCTCGGGCTTCGTGAGTCTACGCAGACGTAGCATCGTCTCGATGGCCCGATCCTCGCGGCCGCGCATCAAATGGAAATACGGCGACTCGGGCATGAACACGAAGGTGCAGAGGAATACGAGGGGCAGCCAGAGCGATACCAGGTTCAGCTTCTCGTAGCTAAGATAGGCGCCCATGGTCGCGGAGAAGAGACTGCCCAGGTTCGTTGACGTTTTGAGGAGCGTGCCGAAGGCCCCCCGCACCCGCTTGTCCGCAATCTCCGCCAGGTAGATGACAGCGACGTTGTAGATGCCCCCGTGGCCGAGACCGGCGATCAGTCGCGCCCCGTAGAGAACCTGGTAGGAGCGAGCGGGCACGATCATGGCCCAGCCGGCTAACTGCGGCAGGATGAAGGCCAGGAAAGCGCGTTTCCGACCAATGCGATTCACCATCGGTGGACTGACGAGCGATCCAAGGATAGTCCCGAGGATGTAAATGGAGGCGATCCAGGAGCCCTGGTAGACCGTGACCGAGAACTCGGAGTCGGGGCCCGTGAGGTGAGGCAGGGCCGGGGATGTCCAGCCAAAGTGGCTGCCACAGCTAATCATCGCGAAACTTGCTAAATAGGAAAATAGCAGAATTGAGAGACGCGTCAGCCAAGCCTTAATTTACGTGAACCTGAATTACGAGTGTCGCATTTTCAAAATCCAATAAAGCTAGCTAATCCTTAGGATTTTTGTCAAAGATCCTTAACCTGTCGACGCGCAGGTACTCCACTTCTCACCATTTAGCCTTACTCCTCTGTGCCTCTATCAAGTAAAATGTAATTTATTTCTAATTGTCGGGGGAAAGGTATGTATTCTCGTTAAATGGCAAACGATGTATATATGCGCGCGATGAATCACTCGAATCAGGATCGCTAATTACTAGGAAAAGCAGGAAAAAACGATTTATCGAGTATAAACGAGGTGCACCTATTCCATATATTATAAATAGTTTAATCGACTTCCACTAGATTATCCAATAATAAAAATACTTTTGATCTTCCGGGATTAGGTTTTGTCGAAGATGTTGTAAAAGAAAAAGTCCTGTTCATTCGAAATGGGAATAATTTTCATTGAGGACGATAACGGACCGTATCCCTTAGTTTATAGATACTCGAAGCCTCGATTACATCCACATGATCCGCGTGCACTGTTCATGCAATGTTATTTAATTAGTTAAATATAAGCCAGGAGTCGTCGACTTGTTTAAATAGTCTCGTTTATGGGATCTATGGAAGCGAGAAGCGTCTGTTATAAGAAAGAAAAAAGTAAGCACCGATGAGTATTAGAAAACAAGCGCAATTGGATTTAAAGCGGAAGAGAATCGGGAAGGATAGGACAAGGTGCGCGAGTTTTTTTATCCGTGCAGGTGCACTTGGCTGACGGAAGTGGCGCGAGCGCGAATTTTTCAATGGCCTCGTGCGCAAAACGCGGGAGGAAGGACGCGCGATAAACTTCCTCTTTATCGAAGATTCCATACCGATCGACAGCCTTTTGCCGACAGGATTTTGCCGGCTTCGTCTCAGCAGACGAATATAATTCACGTATATTTTCGTCAGACGTATCATCTGATAAATTGTGATTGACACGAGCCAATTACAGCATATAGCTTACCTTGATTTTTATTTCCTTTTCTATTTCACGGCAACTATGCACGCGACTGCTACATAGTTGAGGATAGGATGATGTTTTGATAATCGAAGGGCATTGTGTTCAATGACGGTGCTTAAAAATCAAAAACTCCGTATAAAGATAATACCGATTGGGCCAAATTGGTTTAATTAAAATTATGGATTAATGAGGATAATGGTGTGGCTGTATATGAGAAACATTGCAAGCTGCCGCAACGAACAGACTCAAAACAGATATGTAGAAGGAGCTATATATATATATATATATATATATATATATATTGGCCTGAATTAGCTTTTATGTAATGTAAATAGCAGTGTTTAAGCGATTAGGATTTATGTAATAAGTATATAGCCCGCCAGTTTAGAATGATGGGAACGATAAATTTTACCACAATAGAGATTTCTCTCATAATCAAAAATTTGTATGTTTCTCAAATTTAATTCTCAAGACATTAAGCAAAAAGTGAGATTTTCAATGTTTCCAAGCTAAATGAAATACGATTAATTTTATATAATTCAATGTGTACCTCCAGACTTATAACTAAGATTTTCATTTTAATGATTTGAAGTCTATAATTTTAATACAAAAGGAGATAATTATTTTTCGTGAAAAATACATCGGATTCCATTACTATTGCAAAGAAAAAAATAATAATAATAATGATAATAATAACCGCTTTCAGTTAAAAACAAAAATGCCTAAAACTTTCTTTTTGAAAAGGATTATTACTATTTTAATTATTTCAATTAGTTATAGGGAAAAGAAAAACAGAAATTTTATTATATATTATAAATATACGCAATATATATATATATGCAAAGTGTAAAGTATAGGAAAATTTGTCAATTGAAATAATAACGTTAATAATTTATTTATTAGATCGATCATGCGATACAGATTTGAATAAGAATTTTCGGCATTTTGCATTTATATTTCAAAGTATAAAACATATCATCATTATTATGTAATATATTAAGAAGCTTAAAAATATAATGGAATATCGCTGTCGATTAATCTAATTAATCTAAGTGCCTAATTATCAAATTAATATTAGTACCAATATTAATTATACTAATGGTTTGTCGTTGTCGTCGTCGTCGTCGTCGTCGTCGTCGTCGTCGTCGTCGTCGTCGTCGTCGTCGTCGTCGTCGTCGTCGTCGTCGTCGTCGTCGTCGTCGTCGTCGTCGTCGTCGTCGTCGTCGTCGTTGTTGTTGTTGTTGTTGTTGTTGTTGCTGTTGTTGTTGTTGTTATTATTATTATTATTATTATTATTAATAAATTATATTAATACGAAATTCCGAGTTCGTAACAATAATGCACATGAAAAAAGAGAATAAAAGTAAGGGAAACATAAAAAAGAAAAACGAAAAAAAAGTTTTAGTTTCCCAATATAATTTTATTAATTTTATATAATTTTTCTTAATAATTCACTCTTGCAATCGTCAAAATCATAGCAAAAACCGAAATCTCAATTGACAAAAGTCCTATAGGGCATTTGCAATTTGCAGACACTCACAACTAAGGGCAGAGAGCCATTGTAACCAGAGTCTCTCCTTCTCCTCGATCTTCGGCTGCTGCATTTCCAAGTCCTGACACGGCTTGATTGCATCCTCGGTCACGCGTTTCTCCCGCTCGGCGTCGCTGCTCCTCAGGTACCCGAACAGCGTCCTCAAATACATGGCGGCACGGCTCTCTTGGGATGGTACAAGCTCAGCCACGATCGGCCGCTTTCGTCTCCTCGTTAATCTCGCATCATCTCCGGACTAAGCTTTGCGCGATGTCATATCCAGGTGGTGGTGGCTCGCTTCCGCCAGGACAACGCTAACTAAAAGAGCAACTTGCCGCAACGGTGCTTTTAAGACCGTCGACGGAACCCCTTCCTCACGTACCTATGGGCGTATATCGTAAGGTCGCCGGACTTTACCGGAGATTAGACATCCCCTCTCCTCCCACTCTTCCTACTCCCACCCCTAGTAGGTGCCCACATTACCCAACTATGACAATATCCTCGCGGGAGATGAAATTCCTAATGAGAATTGTTGGTTGCACTATGGGTTGTCAAGGAGAAGCTCCAAGCTTCGAATGTTAAATTATTCGTTAGTAATTTCCTGAATTATTGCTGCTTAAGATGTAATTATATTGAAAATTTTGTTGTAAATGCGAGCTATTAAGTTTCTTACGCTTTCTATTGTTAATGTCTTAAAATCCTGTAAGACTTCCTTATAAAATTGCGTCAACATAGGACAAAAACTTATCGATTTATACAATTATCAAATATAATTTATAATTAAATCAACTAATTTTCCTCACAAAAATCTGTTTTTGTTTTTGCACAATATTCCTTATTAATCGAATTGCAGCGCAATCACGACAATTTTACTCCTCAAAATATAAAAAGCTTTTGGAAATGAATTGTTATTATTCGTTCGGTTAGACTCTAGGCTTTTCCATATGACCATCAGTCCAAAAATATATTTGCAAATTATTTACTTTTATTATAAAAATATGATTATGCAATTAAATATTCTTACAGCATTACATATACCTTGATCCTTTCATAATAGAAAGAAAAAATTATTTAACTTAGAATAGATTTTTTTCATATTTCATCGATCAGTTGTGTTAGTTTAAAATTTAATTTTATCGTTATTGATCGATATAATTATTCATTCAGGATAATAATAAGATTAATGAGATATCCTATTTGCTTATTATAAGCTCATTACTATCGAAATCTCTAAGTTTTTCAGCGATCTCTATGAATCTCTACGAAATTCAATTATTCTTATTCTAATAATTAAAATTTATTTTTGCAGTAGAGAATGTTCGAAAATCAAATTAAGCATTTAAGATTTCACAATAACAATTTTGCCAATTAATCATCTATACGAGAGTGTAGAGCTCATCCACATATGAATTTTCAAATAATGTCGATTAAATAATAAAGAATTTCTCGTAGAAGATTATTTGAGATTTATCATAATAAATTCTAATCTTTTATTTAATAACTACGTATTATTACTTAATTATATGCTTATATAAATATAATCATTGGTCTAAAGTCCTATATTATAAGCCTCTATTATTGATATTCATTCGGAAAAAGTTTGTTAAAACTGTTACGCTCGCACTCTACTCCCATTATATTTTTTAATAATCAAACTACTCGTTGTTCCTTCCTCGTCCACTTTCCCACCTCCGCTATTATTTATATTACCTTGTGTATTTGATATTGGGAGGCGCGAAAGGTCTTTTCTAATGGCCGCTGATCTCGACTAACAAGTCCCAGCAGTGAGTTATACATCATTGATATTTTATTTAACGCAAGCTTTTCTCACATCTCATATTTCAACCAGTGGAAGTTTTACCCTCGTGTGATTTTCCTACGCGCGTAGTAGGCGCGTTCGAGCGAGAAATTCCATATGAAATTAGCGCCTACTTCTCAGGCGCTTTTATCCGAGCGTCCGAAATGTTTGGTCGACCCGTGCGCTAAAGATATTTAAATAAATCGTTAAGCATATTTATTGTGGTCAATGAGCCTCGGAATTGTTTATCTTATAATTAGTGATTTATCGAACCTTTACTCACGATGTTTGTCGTGGCGAAGATCACGCTTTTATTACCGTTCGTTTCAATTCGCTGACGATGAGACCGGAATTTTCATCAAATTTTCTACTAAAATACGGATACATCAATGACACATCATTTTATCAACAAAATTACAAGCTATTAATATATTGTTTCGTCCTCAACCTTTACAATGTGATCGATTTTCAAAAGATCGTTCACATTTTTACATTGTCGATGACTGCAATTACCCACACGTGCTTTAAATACAGAATAAAAAAAATTGTCTCAATAATGTTTAATTAGCTCCTCTGGAACGTGATTTTTTGCAAGCAATTGTTTCTCAGCAGCCCAAACACTGTACAACTTTTATAAATTGCTAATAACAGTATTCCAAAATACTTGGATGAATAAGTAAGAATTTCATGGCAATGGGAAACTTAGGAGATTAATCGCTGTAAAAGAAAAATTACAAACAAAAACAAAACGAAATAGATAATTGGCAAATTTAATCTTCCAGTTCTTAACATATCGTCTCGGCGCGATATCTTAAATCGAATCGCAAATGCACATTTTACGAAGCGTACATATTGTACGGTTAGAGTCGGGGGGATAGGATTAAAATATTTATTATTAATATTTCCTAAATTCACGTAATAAATAATAGTAATGCGATATACAATAACTTCTACTCAATTTCTAATAAATTTATTCCTTATAATGCATTCAGAGGAATATAGTCGGTCTATTGGAACATGTATAAAATGCGTATGAAAAACATCTTCGATTTAAACGTATCTTTACATGATTTCTTGTACATAAAAAAACAGGTCATCGTAAATAAAACGAATCCCGTCTTTTATAAGCGTTCAATTAATTTTCTTACATTGAAAAATCATACATTAGAGAAAAAAGCAATTTTTGGCGATAGTCTAGTTTATGTAATCAATAGTTGAAGTGTACGAAAGACATAATAATTTCAATTAACACTTAATAACGCCAATATTTTATCTCTATGGGATTTTTACGAACGCAAACGAATGAAGATATACGAACGATTTTTCATGAAAAAAATTCGAGAAATTCTTTACGTTTCTGCCATTACGACTTAGTTGTTGGGACGCGTGAAATAAAATTAACCCACGTAAGGAAATGTAGAGGGTTACGTTTGTTAAGCGCTAGTATAACATTAGGGCTCCGTGCACGCTGGCCTAGGATATTTATCCTTCGCAAATGATCGGAAGGCTCAATCACATAAACTGAAATTACTGCCGATAATGAGTAAGGAGGAGCCATGGGATGCCACTCTAAATGTTGCTTATCAACAAGTGAAATGATGTTTGGTCGATGCTGAGCAAATGACCGGAAGATTTCGAATTGCGGATAACCGACTTAAATATAAGCTACGATTATTCAATGAAATTTCACACTATTGTCAAACGATTAGCAAAAAATTAATTGATAACAACAACAACAACAACAACAACAACAACAACAACAACAACAACAACAATAATACGTCGAAATTGATTTAAAAATCATTTAAAAATAACGTTATTCATAAAAACTGAACGTATGTATCTGTGTTACACAGTTACACGAATATACATATCTTTGAGTTTATAAATAAATAATACATTATTTATATATTACCAGTAGATTTAATAATATATATTAAATATATTTGTCATCGACATAAAATTCATAAATTATTATAATTATTATAATTATAAAATGGAGTCTTTTTTTTTTTTTTTTTTTAATAAGTTACATAATTATAAACATCAATGTTAATACAAAATAATTTAGTATTGCTTATAAAATTATGAAGCAAGTAAGTAAAATCTTTCACTTGCGTTAATTCTACATTTAAAAGAACAGTTTCATATCATTGTCTAAAAAAAAAAAAAAAGAAAGAAAAATAAAGGAAAACAAAAGAAAAAAAAAGCTGTTTAGAAGTTCAATATCCAGGAGTTGATAGTCCTTTCCACACATTCGGACCATCGAGTTTAATTTGAAGCCGACGGAAAGCGGTTCCTACAAATATTTACTTCTTTCAATTACCATCTTTCTTCATTCTTTAATTTCTAAAATTATTAAATATAGTAACTACAAATATACTCAATTAATGAATATAAAGTGTTATGTAAATATAAAACATCTACTAATACATTCATAATATTCATATTCCTGTATGTAATATAACGTAATTATACAACAGTTTTTATGCATAAAATAACAAAATAACAATAAAATGAACAAAGTATGTGTATAAATAAGACAATGTGAAAATATCATCTGGTACGGATCATCCGAAGCCATATTTATTAGAAAAATAAAATTTTCTTTTATTTTCATTTATATTTTCTAGAATAAAATAAGTCGTTAGTTTGTCTATTATAAAATCAAGTAAATTTCCACTCTTCTTCATCAAATATTAAATTTAATCTCGTATAAATTTTATTGAAAGATATAAGAAAATCAATGTTTACCTTTGTTGTTGTTTTTTCTTTATACTTTTTTTTTTTTATGACAAAATAGTAACTTTTTAGATAATTTTTTGTATAGAATATGTAATCGATTAATAGAGAATTAATCCAGAAGATTGAAAATTCGTATTTTACCAGACTTTTATCTAAAAAAAAAAAAAAAAAAAAAAAAAAAAAAAAAAAAAAAACTTTCTGTCTTATTTCCATAATAAACGTTTATAATTTACATTAATGTTGATAGGTTAAATTAATAAATTTATATTTGAAAGTCAATAACCCGAAGATTAACTGATTATCTAATAATCTGCATATTACAAATTTAGATATGTAAAACAAGAATACAAAATCAGAAGGTTTTGTCTAGGTAAAAGGAACTATTAAAATAGTGGAACAAAAATACTATTCATAAAAGAATTTTTTTCAGTCAATTTAAAAATTAATAGTTTGTTGAAACAATGAATATTATCAATTAAATCCTCAACAGTTAAAAATAAGAAATAATATCTACAATAAGAACCATATATTTACTATCTATTAAGACAATGTATGTGGCAAAATTCAATATCTTACAATTACCCACAATTATTATACAAATTAATTATATGTTTTACATAATTAACCATTGATTAAATTTGGAATCGACGATTAAAATATAATCGTGGGTGATCTGTGTTAGATGCTTTCACAATTTCTTGGAACTTTAGATGGGCACATTTTGCCGCATATAAATATATTGTAACTAACATTTTTGTTAAATATATGTATGTCTAAGCAATGTATATATCTATATATATATATTTGAATATGTATTCAATATATTTTTGCAAATTCTTCAAATAATATCATCTAAAATATTTCATCTTTCCTTGCGACGATACTTAATTATTGTTAATTGATAACAAACACGTATATATATTCCTTACAAGGCATTTAATAATTAGAGACATTCCTCAAGTTCTTTGCTAAAACTTTGAATCTACAAGCCAGAAAAATATTGATACTTATCGTAAACCTTTTACATTCTTCAAGGACTTGAAATCTTTTTTCCATAACATTCTAAATAATATAGATTTAAGTGCAACATATTTTATCGGTACATTTTCATGATTATAACCGCCCACAATTTTAACGTTACTTTTTTATTATTTATTCTCGCAAATATATATTTATTATTTATTCTAATAATACGTATTAAAATTTTTTAATCTTATGAAGAATGTAGTGTAGAAAGGTTAATAAATGTTCGATCGATATATTTTTATTGGATAATAGTTATTCTTTTTAAAGAATTTAAAATTTCGACCTGTAAGTTAAATATGATTATTCCACGCAAATTCCTTACGCTCTCAGTTGATTTATTATAAATATATAATCGGTTAATAATTTATAATTCAGAGTATAACGTGCAATTAATAACGTTAAAAAAGAATTTTAGACAATAATCGAAGGATTAAAAAACATTCGATTACATTAAAATAACTTGTTTGCACCAACTACATTGTACTGTAAGTAGTAGAAATTAAATTTTTTTTTTTTTTTTTTTTTGTAATTTTTGTAATATACAATTTTTATACATTTACGAATGCAAGTATAATTAATTGAAGTTTGATATAAGCATTTTCTTAAGTTTATATTAGTGTCAATGATTTTCATACGACTATTCTATTCGAACTTTACATTTTTCTTTAAAAGATATTGCTTATGCTGTACAAATGCCTAAGTAGTAGGTATTATAGTTTATTTCTTACATAAAATATTTTGAAAGAGATTTTTAATATTTCGAAAATTCATAATAACCACTATTTTATCTATACATGAGTATTAATTAATTGCATGAGAAGTATTTATTTCGCGACGAACGTGACGAAAATGCAAATTACGTTGCTTATACAGAAAACTGATAATATAAAAAATTACAATTTAGTATGGAATAAAAGACAAATTTTTAAATTAAAAAAAAAAAGAATCATTTTTCAAAAACCACCCGAATAATCAATTAATTTTATTATATAATATTTTATTAATGTTTATCTAATATTGTAAAAATTTAAAAAGTATATATCTTATAATTAATAATCTATAATTTAAGCATGGAACTCTTCAACAAACGAGAATTATTATTATTATTATTATTATTATTATTATTGTTGTTGTTGTTGTTGTTGTTGTTGTTGTTGTTGTTGTTGTTGTTGTTGTTGTTGTTGTTGTTGTTGTTGTTGTTGTTGTTGTTGTTGTTGTTGTTGTTGTTGTTGTTGTTGTTGTTGTTGTTGTTGTTGTTGTTGTTGTTGTTGTTGTTGTTGTTGTTGTTGTTGTTGTTGTTGTTGTTGTTGTTGTTGTTGTTGTTGTTGTTGTTGTTGTTGTTGTTGTTGTTGTTGTTGTTGTTGTTGTTGTTGTTGTTGTTGTTGTTGTTGTTGTTGTTGTTGTTGTTGTTGTTGTTGTTGTTGTTGTTGTTGTTGTTGTTGTTGTTGTTGTTGTTGTTGTTGTTGTTGTTGTTGTTGTTGTTGTTGTTGTTGTTGTTGTTGTTGTTGTTGTTGTTGTTGTTGTTGTTGTTGTTGTTGTTGTTGTTGTTGTTGTTGTTGTTGTTGTTGTTGTTGTTGTTGTTGTTGTTGTTGTTGTTGTTGTTGTTGTTGTTGTTGTTGTTGTTGTTGTTGTTGTTGTTGTTGTTGTTGTTGTTGTTGTTATTATTATTATAATGACTTTTCAATCGATTGGAGCACTTGGCATAAAAGCGATATTTATGAGAAATTGAATAAACAGTTTTGTTTTTAAATTAATTATAATTTCTGTTATCAATGCACTGAAATTTGAAATTTTTAATTACAATTTTTTACTAATAATTTAACCTTGTTCTGCCGGTAACGAAGTTAAACTTATTTGTTATATTATTTGATCCATAGATGGTGCTTCGTAGATTCAGAAAGGCGGGAAACTTCGTTACTACATTGTAACGGAAGTGACAAATGTCGTAAGATAAGTAAATTTCTTATCATCAGTTTATGATTTATCTTGACTAGACAATTGTTATTGTGACAAATAGTACTCGGCAGGTTAGTTATCAGAAAAATTGTGAAGTAATTAGCTATGAATGAAACGTACGTTCATATATATATACAGATATAATTGCGCTATAATTGAATAGCTTCTTTATAGAATTTTTAGGCTATGCAGGATTAAAATATAAAATTGATTTGTTGATTTAATGTTAAAATATGGAAAAACGGACTATAAGAACGTATAGCAGAAGGCAGCCCATCGCTGCATTTAAATCTGTTGTAACATTTGCACCAAATTGTCCGAATTCTACAAATATTTCTAATATCAGAGAATCTCGATTACTTGATAATACTCTGACTGTCAGTACTTTTGATGATACATTTGACAGGTTAGCAGCTGGAGTAGTGTAAGTTTCTATATACTTAACCGTATGTTGACATTTATTTTGCTTTTATTTTGATTTATTAACTATTGTTTTCTTTAAGCATATGTAATTTATATATATATATATATATATATATTTTTTTTTTTAAGTATACAACCACAAATTAATTCAACGGATCAACCTAGCTCCGATACCGATAGTGATGACTTTTTCAAAATAATTCCAGAAAAGAAGGAAGTGCAAAAAGTTTTAAGAGAAGGCTGTAATGATGAAAATGATGGAAATGTAGAAGTTGATGAAAGTATATATAATTATCCAAATGAAAATGAAAATAAAAATATAAATAATGTAATGAAAAGTAAAGTAACTGGAGTGAAAAGAAAAATTTGTGATTATAAAAACAATGATGAAAATTTGGAAGCAAGTTCTCCTGAGAGAGAGGAAAATCAACATGGTGAAATAACTGTTTTAAGTAAAAAAAAAAGAATATGTCTAGATGGTGAACAGAATGAAGTATTAAATACCAATCAACTGAAAGTAATAGATGAATTACCTACAAGTACTCCTAGAGAATATAAAATGCGGACAAATATTGATATATACAATTGCTCCCCTATATTATTAGACAATGATATATACATAAATGATAAACACATTCCAAAAGTTTCAATAACATCATATGAAAGTATGTCACAAGAAAAAACAATTCAATTTTTAAAACCAGAAGATAAACAGTTAAATAATTCTGATCTCAATCATTTTAACAATTCAAACGAAATTACTGCACAAGAATTATGTAATTCCAAAGCTAATGGCATTCCTATGTTAAATGAAAATACTATTGATAAGAATTTAAATGATTCTAAATTGCTGTTTGGTAACAAATTACTAAATGAGACCACTATTGATATTGAAAATGATAATAATTTGTTAAAAAATATTGATATACAATCAAATATGGAAAAGCAATTGACAAACATTGCTCCAGAAAAAAAAGAACAAAAAAAGAATAAAGTTATTAGCATTATTGACTCTCCTTTACTTTTTGATGATACAGAGGGCAATTTAGATCAATTTTGCAAAAATAAAACAGTTATATTAAATAATATACAAGATAATTTTAAAAGTTTAACATCAGAATTCATAAATAATTCTATAAAAACTAATGAAAAATTATCAGTTATCCATGATCCCGATAGACAATCAATAACAAATGAGAATAAACATGATTTATTAGAAAACGATTCTGAATTTTCTCCTCATGACTGGACAAATGATTATAATTCATCGTATGAGTATTTATCAGAAACAGAGAGATTAAGAAAAGTAACCATTAATTCTGAAAATTCTGAAAATGATAAAAACTTGCAAACAGAGTTGCATGACTCATCTATTAAACTGAATAACGAAAATATCAAAACCAAGTCATCGATTTTGTCAAAAACAGAATTCGCTCAATCAATAAGTAATAGCGTTACAGACACACAAAATAACTTTCCTATAAATAATATTCCTAATTCGTGTAAAAGTGGAAATATTGTATCGGACAATACCCAAACAGATAATATCAAAAATATAGTTCCCGACACAAATATAATTGATAATAATATAATAAATATTGAAAATAAGCTTTTGAAAGAAAAAGAAAATGTAAATGAAATTTTAATTCAAGAATCACCTATTATATCTTTCAGAACATTAAGGAAACAAAAATTAAATCAACCCAGCAAATTAAAACGACAGATCAAAATAAATCCCGATAAAAATAATGAATCTGGTATTATTGAAAATCTACTTCCTAATTCAATAAATAAACAAAATACTATAAATAATGATAATGTAAGTAATAAGCATGGTACTAATAATACTTCGATTAAAAATGTTAATTTAGAACAGAAGTTTGAAGAAAACGTTGAAAAAAATTCTGTCGTAATATTAAATAATAGTAATAAAGATAAATTTACCCAGGAATCAGAAGTTATAAAAATAAGTAATAATAAAGACGTAAATAAATCAGTTGTAGATAGTTATATCGAGCCTGTTGATAAAAATAAAAGCACTTTAAACAATAACAATCAGATTGATAATGAAATCAAAAGAGAGCAAACACATGAAGATGCTAAAAACATTGACGTAAAGTTAAATTACATAAGACCTATAGTATGCATTACAAGAATTGATAAATATATCAATAATAAATCACCTATTTTATCAACAAAAATTTCAAAACATAATAAAATATCTGCAGTTAAAAAACCAAAAATTTTAAGAAATATTAAGACAAGTAATAGAAGAAAAAAAATAGATGATAAAATCACAATTATGCAAGATAATATTGTTGAAATTGAAAACCAGGAAATTAATTTTGATAAAATGAAAAAAATTGATTCTACCGTGACACGAAATAAGAAAAAAGTATTAGATTTAAAAAATAATTATAATAAGATAAAAGAAGCTAAACAATTAAGTATGAGTAAAGAACTAATTGTACTTGTATCAAAACTGGAAGAAATAGATGAAAACTATCGACTACCTGTAGCGAAAAAAAATGATAAAAAAAAAATTAAAACCATATTTAAAAAATCTAAAAATATTGTTAAATCAAGGGACGTAGGAAGAAATTTTGGTGAAAATAATGTTAATGTAAAAAATTCAATGAGCGATTTGATTTTGAATCAAAATACAGACATTAATTTAAATGAAAATGTATTGATAAGAAGCGGCGAGGTAAATTGTGAAGCTGACCGAAACATTAATAATGTCGATGAAGAATTTCCACTTTCTTTAAAATTAAAAGATCCGACTAGGATTACTATGAGAAGAAGACTAATTAAAACATCGAATAAGCCATTGGGATCTATAGGAGAAAATTATCTGGAAGAAGGTACTATTATTGAGAAAGAGAATAAAATCGATTCACATAATGATTCCACCAATGGAAATAGTTTTGCGAACGATAGTGTTAAGAGTCCATCGGTTTTTTTAAAGCCTGGAAAATCTTGGGCGAGATCCTTGTCAATTATAAATCATTTTCATAATGTACAAAACTTGGATGAATTAGCAATTGGAAGAGGCAAAAACTGGAGACACAGTGTTCAATCCATTTTAAATATGCAACCAGAAGGTATTTTCCAAACCTTAATTCTAACAATAAACATTTTAATAAATACGAATAAATAGTAGATAAATCATCTGTAATATATTTTTAATTTTATCCTAAGTTTTATTCAATCTACAGTAAAAATTAGGAATGACGTAAGAGCTCTTTTATCACTTTTTCTACCGTTTTAGATGTTATTCAGAAAGATAAAAATAGATCACCTTCAATCACCGGTAGACCTCGTTTTTCACGAGGTTTTTCCATACGCATTATTCCAAGTGGTAAAAAATCAACTCTTACCGACGATTTTACAGATATTAAAAAAATTGTTGACGTTTCTGATATAAGACGTAAAACATCGGTTGCAAGAAAATTTTCCACGAGTAATTAATTATTATTTTCTATGTAAAACAATAATATAACACAAATGTATTAAAATTGTTTTCAACATATGTTTTAGAAATTCGTAGAGATACATTAATTGAAACTGAAGATGATTTAATTCGATCGGCAAAAGATATTATTTTAAAGCGCTGTAAACAAACATCTTACTTGCCTTTCAATGTTTGTTTTTCTGACTCGTAAGTTCACGATTTCATTTTATTTCCGATCTTTTGACGCGCCTATTCATTAAAAAAAAAAAAGAATCTAAGATAAATTATTAAATAAATCAATGAATATTAAAAATGATGAATCATTTGTTTGATTTAATATAGTAAATATTCAAATTTCATTCGGTTTAATTAAAAAAAAAAAAAAAAATGTATTGACTAAGGGAAGAAAAATATTTTTTAATTTTTAGACAGAATGTATGTTCTTTTTAAACTATAATTATTTTATTGAAGATATATAGATTGTTGTCGAAAAATCGGTGAAGGCGTTTACGGTGAAGTATTTCTATATGAAAATAATAATGAAAAATCAGTTATAAAAATTATACCAATCGAAGGTCAAGAATTGGTTAACTGTGAACCGCAAAAAAAATTTCATGAAATTCTTTCTGAAATTATCATTTCTCAGTGAGTATTTTTTTTTTTTTTTTTTTTTTTTTTTTTTTTTTTTATATAAATAAAATTCTGTTATCAATGCAATTTCTTTTCTTTTTCAGAGAATTAAATAAACTCAGATTCGGAGAGGAGTATAACACAAATTGTTTCGTTGGAGTTAATAAAGTTATGTGTATTATCGGATCGTATCCGAAAAAATTAATTAATTTATGGAAAAAGTATGACTTTGAGAAGAAGTCGGAAAATGACTGCCCATCTATGTTTACTAAGCAGCAATTGTATGTAGTTCTCGAGCTCGCGCATGGTGGACAAGACCTTGAGGCTTATAGCTTTCAAAATGCATTAGAATCTTATTCTATATTCATACAAGTACATAGAAAATTGTTATTTTTTTACTTTGACAAGGGAAGAATAATTTGAATTGCACTTAAAACTCTCTAAATTTGTAGACTGCATTCTCCCTGGCTATTGCTGAAAAAACTCTCGAATTTGAACATAGAGATCTACATTGGGGAAATCTTTTAATATCTAAAACAAAAGATGCGAACGCCGTCTTTAAAGTTGATGGTGTGGAAATTTTAATACCTACCAATGGGGTCAAAGTACATAAATTGACATTATTTTAATTGCCAGAAAAGAAAATGCAAAACTAAATTTCATACATTTTCTTAGGTTTCAGTGATTGATTTTACATTATCTAGAATGCTGTATCAAGGTTGTAAGATTTTCAATGATTTGGCAACAGATCCTACATTATTTACAGCACAAGGAGAATATCAATTTGATATTTATAGAATGATGAAGGATAACGTCAAGTAAGTAACTAGTAAATTATAAATTAAAAATTTCATACTATTGAATTAATTTGATTAAAACTATGGAATAACTAGTAACGACTGGCAACAATTTAAGCCGTACACAAATATTTTATGGCTGGATTATATCCTTGACAAAATGATAACGGCTGTGAGATATAAAAAGAAAACTACAAAAGTTCATAGGACCAATATGGAAGAAATGAAAGCATTGAGAAAAGAGATTTTTAATTATGATAGTGCTTTTGATTTTATCAAAAATTGCAAAAAAATCACTACCATATTTAATGTCATTGGTGATAAAGCATAAAGTACAAAATTACTTATTGCCTTAATTAATTAAGATAATTAAAAATTGAAAAATGACTAGTTAATTTTTAGATAATTTAAATATTGTTAATTCATGACAAATAAATATTATATTTTAATTGTATATATGTAGGCATTGTAATTGCTACTTTTGTAAATATCATTTGCTAAATGTAGTTTAAAATAAATAAATACGTATTTTATATAATTTATATATTTTACAGCGCGCCCTACACTTTCCCCTAAAAAGAAGATAGTACTTTGTTATAAATTTTATTATGCATTCACGCTTTATACATTTACTCATATATTCATGATAAATATTATTGCTGTGAATTAGATTTTATTTAGAATACTTTCTATGATAATAAGCGAAATAGAATATGCCATCAACCTCGTACGGTTTAACGTCAAGATTTTCTTGTTCGACAACATCAGCTAATATCATCAGCTCAAGTACCTAAATATGAAATTAAAATTACAAATTTTTTTTTTTTTTCCAATAATAATGTTTAGATCATACTTTTGCCGTTGCATGCCCAACATTGTTTCCGTATATTCTAAGTTGTCGCACCAATGGTGACTTTTTTATCGAATTAAGAAGTTTGACACCACTTTCATCGGTAAAACGATTGTAAGATACGTCGATTACCAACAATTTGGATAATCGTATACCTTCGCTCAATGATCTAAAAGAATGGATTAATTATTAATTGATTGTATGTTTGTAATGAAACTATTACCTGATGCCACGATCGGTTATGATATTATGAGCGAGCAATAATGATCGAAGAGGCGGTCGTGTCTTTAACCAGTCACCGATCAACTCCATTGCGTAATCGCCAATGTTATTACATGATAAATCTAAAACCCTTAAAGTTTTATTGTACTTTGCGTTTTCTAACATATCTTCAATATCGTGACAAAAAAAGTCGAACTTCTGCAAATAAAGTTCTTCCAAAGTATAATTATACTGTTGAACAAGATAGAGAATTAATCAATTGCCATTAACAATTATAAACAAAAATTTTAATTATTACTCGCAACATGGTTCCAATAAGTGTAGCGATGTGCGAACTATCAAATTTTGTATACAAGCATTGAGGAATCGGTCGACTGAGATCTAAAATCTTCAAACAGTCGTTAAAATAATCCTGATCCGATCGCAATACCGTCGTAAAATAAACCAAACTTGATTCATTTTGTCCAACTTCAGCGATGTCAAGATGCTTTATAAAATTGTTTTTTACAATCATTGTTGCAATTTGTTTGGAATTCTAAATAAAACACGTGTTCGGTGCAATAAAGGCAAATTAAATTAATACATCTCGCGTGATTGAAGAAAGCCAACATTAAAGGCTTTAAGTTCATTAAACATTATTTATTATATATACTTCAACCCCAATTTTGTTTCCGCTTAATCGCAATACTTGCAACTGCAATTCCGCCCCGTACCGACACATATCATTAATGCCGCAATCGGTTATTTCATTATTTCTAACATCAAGTTCTAAAACGTGTTTGCAGTCCTGAAAATAATTTCAGTGACGCATGAATTATGATTGAATTCAATTGCATATTTAAAATTACAATTATACACTTGATTAAATTCATAAATCCAGCCGAGTTAATTTCATTGTTAGCTAAATTCAATCTTATTACATCCTTGTGCTTTGATACAAATAATGATAAATAAGGAACATCCCAGTTCTTGAAACGTCGCCTAAAAAATATTTCTTATAAAATAACATTCGCTAGTCTATTTTTTCAAGCATAATAATGTTTATTTAACCCAATTCTGTGATTTAGATCATTGCCATTCAAAATTAAATCTTGACTTCCTTCTTTGTTTCTCTTGCAATTGTAAATAAAATATACGCTTTTCATTACGAATTCAGGCTTATAAGTCTTTTCAAAACGTCTGCTTAAAAGAATATTACGAGGATAAACAAATGATAAAGAGATTGGTTTTGATTTTTTCGAATTTTTTGATTTTGGCGTTGGAATAATGAGAGATCCGTAACTGTCAACCTTAACATTACAAATTTCCATTTTTAAAATACAAATTTTACAAATACAAATTTTAAACGCTGAAGTTAACCTTAGAAGAATTCCGTCAATAAATAAACAATACCCTAGCAACTAAATTAATTAAGATATAAAAAAGTTTAGTTTTTCATATGCGTGAAAAATAATGTCCTTACCGACGGCTAAATCAAGTCTGAATATACTTATCATATGAAACTGGATACGTATTTATCGAAAATTTTCAATTTATATATTCAAGAGTCTACGCACGAATACATGATCTTGGAGCACAAGTTTATCAGAAAATAATAATAATAATAATAATAATAATAACAATTAAAAAATAAGATCTCATTACAATCAGATATGATGTTTTTTAACAAAACGTTATGAACGAAACGAAGCACGATGCAAGTTAAACTTATTTTTAATAACTTTCACTATGTACATAATTACTGTAATTTTTCTTTATTTTTTTTTTTTTTATTTTTATGTAAATTTGTTCTTAGCTATTCGAATAAGTTTAAAAAGTTTTTAATAATTTGCCATTCAACTCCTTAATATTATTGTGTTATACTTTAAAATGTCATTATTTAGTAATAGAAAGTTTTATAAAAATATATCATTTTAATAAATGTTTTTAGTAAAGATTGTAAATCAATCGCAATTGTTTAACGCACTTGTAGAGAGAAAATTATAATAACCGCATACCTTTGTATTTATACCTGAAATTGAATCAAATTATATTTACATTATACCATATATATCCCTCGAATTTCTTACTTTATACGATTGTATAAGAAAAATAAACAATTGGCTCTATTGGATAAGTTAAAAATGTCGCAAACCTCATTAACTAAAGAAATAACTCCTTTGGATGATATGTTCAAAGGTAATATTCGTATTTATTTATAAGTTAAAATTTAAATTTCATATTAAAGTTACAATTTTCTGTAGCATATTGTAAAATGGATCCAATTTCACTGGCAATGAATGTTGAACTATTACCTCTTTCTCAATGCGATAAATGGTTCGAAGCTGCTGAAATATTAGATATGAATCGCGTTACATCAACCGACACTGGACTATGTTTTTTTAAATTTCGTAAAAGGGCAATTAATTATAAAGAATTTCTTGAATATATTAAAGACTTGGCTAACGCTAAGGACTTGAATATCAATGATTTAAGGCGTAAATTGCAAACTTCTGATAACCGGAATCTATTGAAAACCAATGCCACGCAAGAAAATAATAAGTAGAGAAATTTTTTTTTGTAATTTATTGATAAGTATGTATACTTTATTTTTATTTTACACTTATCACTTGTACATAAATTTAATTTTCTATTATATAAGACTCATTACAGATGGATTCTGCTGTTGTAGATATATTATTATATTAGATTCATTTTATTATTCGTAAATGAATAATTTTACTAATTTAATAAACTTATATATGAACATAACGAAATTTATGACATAAAAGAACTTAATGTCTAATATTACCGCTTACAGTATTATGTGACGTAAAACAATAAAAACAATTTGTAATAAAATTTATCTACAGCCGTTCGATTTTCTTCATTTTAATTTGACGAAAGATAAGCTTAAAAAAAATTCAATCGGAAAATAAATATAAGTAAATAATTTAATAATATATCAAAATTAATTAATTTCAATTTCTTCGCAACAAATCATAATTTTATATTTCCCATGTACTCGAATAGATATAAAAAATAAATTTTTCATAATATATTCATAAATAGTTCCATGATTTAATTGAAATAATAATTCAAAGATTTCACTTGGACATTTGGGTTTCATATGAATAACACATGAACGGTTTACTAATTAACATTATAATAAATTTCTGCAATATTTAAGTATTTTTGTGGATCCACCGCAAGCCGTTACGAATATTAATTAGACTTACTTTTTCTAAGAAGCATGCAATTAATTGATATTCTGGCATTGTACGTCTACCACATGATCGTGTTGATAATGATCGTTGATAAATAATTTTCTCATTATGCTTTTCGTCTTTGACATTCTGGTACTCGTCCGCAGAATTATTTTTACTTTCATGTAATATTTTTGTGGTTAAACACAAAAGCCACTGTATTATCTACGAAAAACATCATAAAGAATATTAACACATTTACTTTCAATGTCACTTTAAAGAGTCAATCTTACTTCGCTATTGGAAGGAATTTTGGTTCCTTTTTTAAACCAACAACTCGGGGCCCATAAGTGTAGATGCATTACAGTTGTTGCCATTTCGACGCTAAGGCGCTATAAGGTCGTAAGGTTTTGTATAATTACTAAAATTTTCAATACATTGCCAATAAAGATCAATCTTTATCTACCTTGTATGTACTGCGTAATAGCATATTCCTAATTAAAGCTGCTATTACAGTTGGAACGGATGCTGGCAGTGTAGGTAGATCATCTTCGTTGTAATTGTAATTTTTCAATAATGACTTTTGCTGATAAGTTCCACAAAAGGGATTTGGCATACCGAATATTTCGTATGCAATAGCACCGACAGTCCAAAGATCGGACTTTGAATAATTAAGGCTTGTAAAAGTCCCTGGCTCGGATAAAATTATTTCAGGAGCCATTAGAGCGGCGTTTCCACCTTTATCAATGTCATGAGAATTATACGGAAGATGTAGACCAAGATTTTTATCTGCTAAACAGCATCCAAAATCTGTTATTACCAATGTCGGACAATTATCAAGCTCCTCCGAAATATCGAGTAGTATATTATCAGATTTAAGATCCCTGTTAAATGAAATTATTTAAACTCTATTCCTTTAACAAAATGCTTTTGAACATGCAACGAAATAATTTACCTATGGGCTATACCATGAGAATGTATATGAGCGACTCCTTCTAATAACTGTGCTAATAATAAGATCGAAACATGAGTTTTCATTGGCTTTTCAAGCACATATTGCTTCAAAGTAATATCGTATCTAAATTGAAAGCGCATAATTCAGCTTTTAGCATTGATTTAGTAGTTAGAATAAAAAAAACATTGTATAGAAAAACCAAACCTTTTCATTAATAAAAATAGACTCATATTTCTTCCTGAGCCTTCGGGATTAAGTCTCGCTGGCAATGCATCTGGATACATTTCGTTCGATGCTGGTAGTAGAGGTACAGTGTCAGCAAACGCAGCATACACAGCTGCTATGTTTGTATGGGGAGGCAAAGTTTTTATATTGTTTGCCATATGTACTTGCCAATATATAACTTCGTCGTTACTATAATGCTTCCAAGCTGGCGTTGTTTCTCTAAACATTGATTTTAGGATTGCATTTGCATTGGATTCCGCATCGTAATTAAACATCATTTTAATTGCCAGTGGAAAAACAGATAGGTCTGTGTTTTTATCTAAAATTATATTGTTGCTACTTTTACTCTCCTGGCTGTTCTTTAAACGACCAGCATAGACAGCGGCTGAGCAGCCTTTTTCTATCAGCGGCCCTACTACAAAACTTTTTAAACTAAGGTTATTACCCATCGAGACCTTTTGTATACTTTCATAATTTTTATCGTTCTTAGATTTATTCCATTGTAATTTCGAGACTGCTTCCTGAAAATATTTAGGAAAATCAATTAACAAAAAATTGTAATAAGCCAATAATGAAACATATCTACAAGTTCTGTTGCTGAACTTTTCATTCGCTTTTTATCCACTCACCCTGATCTCCCAACATACGCCTTCCAATTCATCTTCCTTTGTTAGAACACCAGTACCAGATGCCAACGAAACTCCCACCAAAGCAAAAAATGGTGCCGAATCACCACCGAACAGTCGTCTTGCAGCTCGACGTCTCAACTCAGCTGCAAGGGTGTTGGTCACTCGCTTCAGTACATTATCAACGAATAGACGTCGTGCTTGAGTTCCCAGGAAGCCAAGGTGACCGGTACTGGACGACAAGCCACCAGTACCTGCACGCACGTGGCCCTGGGACTCACCTATAAGAATAACGCTTGTAGGAATAGCTTTGCACGACGAGTCACTCCTACAATTAATATACATGGGTCAATTTGTACTTACCTACTCGTGCACAGTGTATCTTGGTGAAATTTGCGCTTTTTGTGTTGAAAAAGTGCTCCGGATTTTTAATGGAGCGCAGAAGAAATCGACCATCTTGTACAAGACGTTGGGCTAAAATCCTAATCGACATATCTCAAACAGGAACGTCCACTCCGAAGGCCTATGTGCAAGCCTCCGAAAAGAGTTCGGATACAAAATGTAACCTCAATTTTCGCTCGTAATAATATCCGTTGTCATAAACATTATGCATGTGCTATAACAGTAAAATATTCTTTATTACAATATATTAATCGATATGTAAATAACGCAAGACCGAACCTCTTGCGCCTGACGGCCTCAATATCAAAAAAGTCCTCCAACAATTACCTTCGGACTATTCTGCACCGACCAGCATCACTACTACGATGCGAAATGTTAAAATAATCCTAAAAGCGTCGCATAAATTGCGTCGTCGTATTCTTCAAGGTTTATCCGAAGCCAAATTCGCATTACACATATACACAAGTGTCGCTAGATTTACCAGACAATGTTACTAGATTTTTCGAAACTAAAGATATATGTGAAAAAAAAAAATACATTTTAATGTCGTGCGCGGTTATAGAGCATATTTGAGCTCACATTTATTTCTGATTTTCTACAACATTATGCAGAAATTAGGTAGGATAATAATCCACCAGAGGCGTTGATGCACTACGTTGCCTTGCATCATTTACGTATTCTCAACCAACATTCGCGAGATCGTCCGAGGATAGATGCTTTAGGTACATTCACTATTACTAACCAAGGAAAATACACATATGAAATATGATAATAATGGGTGGGGGGGTGGGGGGTGGGGTCACAAATTTTTACAACAATTTATCAATTGTCGATAAATACGACATCAATTAAAGTAAGATCACAGACGCAAAATTCAAAATTTTCTTTAAGAATACTTTAATAACACTTTGAATTTTGCTATTGGAGCATTACAGATAATTACAGATTGCTAGTTTCTCTAATTACAAACTCGCTGTCTCTACATGATTTATGAAAATTATGTAAAATTATAAAAGCTAAGCGTTAGAGTCGCTAAGCTAAGGTTCTTTAAACAACATCATTTATTCTCTGTGCTGACAAATAAAATTTGCTATAAAATTTTTTTTTTTTTTTACAACAGTATATTCATTATACATACATTTTTTATTATGAATATAACTCTGTTTACTAAACTACTTTGCAAAGAGCGCCGAGAACGGAAAATAAAAATCATTAGATATTAAAATTATTACGTTCAACAAATTTAATAATACGCGCAATTATTGCATTAGTAAAATAAATAATAATATACAGCAGGTAACGTGATTTATTAAGGAGAATAAAGTGAAAAATGTCAGAAAGCGTGAAAATAGAATTTAATTTAATGCCGAATTTCTCAAAAATATATCACATAGCCCTTTGTAATGAAATAATTGTCGACAAATTTCAATATGATCATTATGCAATTGCATTTATTACTATTTTTTATTACTAATTTTTTCCTTCTACATTACCTTCGCATGTAAAAAAAAAAAAAAAGTATTTATTCAATAGCAATGGGAAGGAAGCATTATGCCATGGCTCATCTGTTCTTTCATTTCAGTATTTCAGCATTAAAACGATTATGAAATATATGTTTAAACAACGATACGCAATTTAATCAACCGCAATGTCAATAACTGACACTATAAATAGACTAATGATCGACAAAATCCTTCATAAAATTTACATTAATTTAATATATTATGTTAATTTTTCACGCTATACACGTAAGAACAAACTCGACAATGTTTTTATTTTTATTTTTAATTTTCTTTAGAAAAAATTGAAGATTAGATGTAAATAAAATTTTCCCTTTTTGCTATATCAGCAGATATTTGTACTTTTACCTTCAAGTTTATTAGATTTATTTTTACAATTTAACACAAATAAATGATTTTATTACACAATCTGTTTTCATAACTCAACATCATAATAAATGTTTAATTGCGTCATTTGTTAATCATACATAAAAATTGAATTACAGTTTGTAAAATGGATTATTTTTCGATAAAGATAGGAGATAAATCTTTGAGTACAAATTAGACAAATCAACGTGAGTCATATTCATGTTATATCTTAGTAAAAAAATCTAAAATTAGATAATAAATATCTTTCACGCTCTAACTCACTTATCTAAATACATTACAATAAAAAATTTGATATTTCGCGAAAGAATTTTAAATTTTATTTTATCTAATTTAATCAAAAAATTTTATATTGAGATATCATTGAGTGTAAATTGTGATAGGAAATTAATGGTCTTTACTTTTCGCTTTTATGCTTCAATTAATTATTAATTACAAGTCCTAATTACTTGTGATTCGTTATGGGTAGAATAGAATTTGAAGTTGAAAAAGCAACCCTTATAACCAACAAGGAAATATTTTAATTTCAATAACTTAGGTTCGGAAGGTCATGAAATTAGCCAACTACAATTACATTTATAATTAATGTAAAGTTTGACTCGTTAATTTCGGGATTAAAAAAATTTAAACAATCCTTATACTCTTTCCGATATATTGTTTTGTTTTTTTTTTTTGTTTTCAACACTTTATTCGAATACAATATAAATAAGTATTGTGATTGTTGAAAGAATAAGGAAAATATAAAATAGTTCTGTGTTGAGTATTGGACGATTAATGCTTTTTTTCTTTTTTTCAATCTATTATTTACACAATATTGTAATTATGCTCAGTACATGGGGTTATCATTATCAGCGCTCATTGTTAAAAACGCTATTTGAAATCGAATGATTAAATATATAGGACAGAAACACACTTGATACAGACGGACGGTGTCAGAAAGAAAAAAAAAAAAACCTATCCAACCAATAGCCTTAAATTTTCAAATAAATGATGTAAACTCGTGCTCCACCATTTTTCGACTGCAGATACTTTCTACTCAGCGGTTACCGAAATGATTTACAATGGATACTACGGAATACAGCCAATCTAACGCACATCGATAAATTGTCTCCAACATTATTTTAATATCATTAATATATTTTGTCGGTTTTGTAATCATTTAATAATATCAGAGATTTATGGACTTTAACGCGTAGCATTGACACGTGAGCGTTTCATCAAGTGATAATCGGTAATAATACATAATCATATTGAAATATCAGTTACAGACTATTCTGTAGAATAGTAATATTATTTAAACTATAGCTGTGGCTTCGAAAAGGTTAAAAATTGTGCGAACAATTTAATATCAACGAGTACAATCACACGCACTTTGTGTAATAAAGCTTTTGTACGATAAATAATGTAATAAGTACGACATAATAAGTCTAAAATATTCGTATCTTTTTAGTAATTATAAAATCTGACTTACTGTTATTTAATGCAGCTGTAATATTAATAAATTCATCTCATTCATGAGTGGATAATTGATTTTTATTTCATTATATATAGTACAGACAAGTTGACTTGTTGCAATTTGTTAATTGGATCTTATTGGATAATTCGTGAATATGCTTTTGTGCTATTCGCAATGAATAATTGACAGGCTCTCAGTTTAGGAAGTATGGCTTTTTTTTCTTTTTTTTTTTTAAAAGATTATTCTTACAAATTAAAAAATTACAACAAAAATGATAAATAATATAAAATATTTAATAGCTGCGATTAATTAGCAATTGTCCCGTTTACTTAGATTTTTCTGAATTAGATTTTTTGTACCTTTGTCGGGTCATAGAAAAACATCAAAGACACTACGACAATTGACCTTCCTTTTACATTTTATTGTTAAATTTTGATTTCGTATCAATAAAATAACATTAAAAAAATATGCTTTGAATTTACGAACGAGCTATTCGGAGGATTATCATATTCTTTTATGTAACGTACTTTCACCTAATCAGACGTTGTTTATCACTACTTTTTTGACTTTCTATTACGTAAATTAATTCGTAAAATTCCAAAAGTATAAAAGGAGATATCGATAAATTATCATACCATTAATTACCATAAATTAAATTACTTTTATAAACAAATATTTATCTTTTACAATGAATACACGGGCTTATTTACAATTAAATACAAATACGCAATTTACACGTCGTTAAAGGCAACTTTAAAGATTATATCTTTAAAAACTTATATTTTGTATTTACTTTAAATGGAGTTTAAACGTTCCAAGTTATTCAGTCAATGCAGATTTGCACGATAATTTCCATCTTACAGCATGAATTATGAATTATCGCGTTCTTCAATATGAATAATAATAGAATAAGCAAAAGTACGATAAACAAAATATGAAACAATTTTTTCCCTTCGATTTATTAAACGATTTAATTGTAATTTTACCATAAAAACTTGGATAAGCATTAAGATTTACATTTCGTTTAGTCATATCAATGGGGAAGTGTCGAGTCGGAAACCATTCTGCATACAATTTAAAAATTGTTTATTTGATTCGTCACATCGATTGCTTAAAAAAAAAAAAAAAAAAAACCTTCTCAAAAGGATATACGACACTATTAAAATATTTTATACATGCGATTAAAATATTTACCGTCTTTTAACGAAAGTGTAGATTCTAGTCAAAGGTCTCGCAATTCTATACAACCATGACTATTATCCTTATGGATGGTAAGAAATTAAATTTTCAATCAGGAAAAATTGAAAAATAATACACGTCCTTTCATTAAATGTCTCTCTGAATTTTTCGTATATTACATAATTTTCAAACATTCGCGTGCATTACTTTTAACGCGTTTCCCTCGAACATTTCTACTTGACTTTATGTGCGTAAATTCATACAGAGCTGAATGAATAATAAAGAATAGCAGCTTTAATTTCCACAACAAAAATCCTATCGCCTTTATATTAATCTTATGTAATGTTATTTAAACGTAATCTGATGATATAACTAGAGTTATTTAAAGAAAAATCATTGTTTACAAATATCACTAAAGAACGCGTTCTTATTATTTAAGCGATTATTTCTGGGTGCAAAAACAAAGAAAAATAGAAAAGAATTATTTCTTTATTTTATATTTACGATCGTTACATCGTTAAGAACAGGAAAGATACCGTTTTGTCTATATCTTTAGCACTAGAACATATATTTACAAATCGACAAATCAAGATCTAAAATTTAATATTTCACTGAAAATAATATAACGAAGAATGGCAATTGTCTCTATGCTATTTGGCCGAATAAGGAAATTGTTCTATCGCACCGTTGAAACATTCGTTGGATAAAAATTTGTTGGGACGATTTTCTTCCCGTGCTATCGTCAGGTGGTGGTTGATTGCGCTGCCTCGCGATTATCCCAGAATCCGAGAGTTTGCGTAAATTCGACGTTTTTTGACTTTCATGCCCATCATCGACAAACACCATTAATTAATACGAATTATCATGGACAAAAGTCGTCTTTCCAACCAAGCCAAGCAATATCGCAAAGTCGCTGGATGAACGAGCAACGAGTAACCATCAATGATGAATATGGGAAATTAGCCCGACAACGACTGTGACGTGTAACCGGTGTCTACGTAGAGACAAACCTCAATCAGCACATCGGCTCTCGGGGAACAAACGTCGCCGCCGTCGCCACCGCCGTCGCCACCGCCACCGCCGTCGCCACCGCCACCACTACCATCCCTACTACGACCACCACTTCCTCGCATTAAACCCCAGCTAAAAAATATCGCGCACGCAATTGCGTACATCGTAGACGGTCGGTGGTGGGTATGCATGTACGCCGTCTGCCTTTGATTTATCCGCATCGGTGCCGCACGGCGTGGCGAAATGAGAAAATTGATTTGGAATGTAATGGCATCCCCACCTCGGCTCGAGTTTCAGCGGTGCTCAGCAACGAAATCGGGACGCCGTTCGTTCGCTTCGCTGCCGCGGAGGATCCGAGTGCCAGTGTTCGCTAGACCCCACCGCTGATCGTTAACTAATTGGTTGACGGATCCCCGTACTCGGCTATAACCACATCGAACGAGATCGGCTTCACTCAGCCACTCGAATATATCCAGGGTAGAATGGCCCCGGCTCTGAGCAAATTTGTGACGAGGAAAAGCGCGGTCTCGGCTGCCGCGGT